TGTAGAGCTGGATGAACACAGCAGGCCAAACAGCATCTTCAGAAGTGTCTAGGCCCGAAACGTCAGCCTTCCTGCTCCTCTGATTTTGTTTGGCCTGCTGTGTTCATCCAGCTCTACACCTTGTGACCTGAAAGGTTACCTCTGTTTCTGTACAGATGCTGCCCGACCTCAACATTTTCCACTTTTATCTTTATTCTATGCCTTGTATGAGTGAATGTTGTCAGACTAATTCTTCACAGGAGAGTAGGTAGGATCCATATCACAAATACATCACTTCTCATCTTTGTACAGGGGCTAAAAGCTACCTCTTCAGTTCTCTGCCCAAAGCCAAATTCAACACACAGCTCCGTGACTGCCATTTTGGAAAGGACAAAAAGCAGGTCCCTAATCCATTCCAGTAGAAAAAGGATTGAACCATGCTGTTGGCACCAATATGGTGCATACACTAGCCATCAAGTAGACTGATCCAATTGACCCTCCTAAGGTGTCTGTGGCAACATGCACTTTTACATGTATGTTCTTGTTCAGAGCTATTGATAGTGATGGTAGAGGCTTGACTTTTCTTTACTTGGCTGACGAAAAATTTCTCCCACTTTTATGCCTGCCTTTGGTATATGTTGGAACATCATGTTTTGGAGTAGGATTTAAACCCAGTGCTTCTGGCTCAGAGGCAGAGAAACTACCCACTGCTCCAAATGAACAGTAAATATTTTGGAATGTTATGAAATAATGGAGGATACTAGAACAAAACCATCCTTTAATTGGTTGCATTCCAGACCAACATTCTCATCGCCTTGCTGTCACCTTGCCTGATTTATAAATGCAACAGCTTGGTCTATCTTTGTTTCAACACACTCTTGCATTAATTATCTGACCTAAGAATCCATCTGGTGAAAAGCCAGTCATCTGCCTGGCATTCTCTTTGAGATTTAAAACTCTGAATTTCTTTTCATCAATATCATTAAGTATTCAATGTTGTGAATCATGTCAAAACAATTATATAGGAGGAGGTTTTAATCACACACTAGCACACTATTTGTGGTTACATTCTGTGAATCACAACCTTGCCCCTCCCAATTTCTGTGACCTCCTCCAGTCGTTCAACTTTCCAAGTTCTCTAAGTGACTTCTTCCATATTCCTGGTCTTCAGCGCTCACCATCAGAATAATTTCTTTGACTGCTTGGCACCTGACTTCTGAAAATCTCTTCCCTAAGCCTCTTCTCTTTTAAATCACTTCTTAAAACTTGCCTTGACCAAGCTTGTTGTCACCCCATGTATATTTTCTTATGAACATATGAATTCAGAGCAGAAATAGGCTATTTAGACCCTCTAGCCAGTTCCACCATTCAATTAGATCATGGTTGATTCCACATTCTCACCCACCCCTTATAACCAATTACTCCCAATTGTTTAAGTATTCATTGACCTCACCTCCACTGTTCTCTGAGGAACAGACTTCCTAAGAGTGATGACCCTCTGAAATAATTATGATAATGCTCCTGTGAAATATTTTGGGTTTTCTTTTAACACATTTAAATGTATGCTATATATCTAAGTGGTTGCTCCTTTGAGTTTCACAACAACATCTGTCATTGGGACGAAGTTCAAAGCTAATATTAAAGGTGCTACAGCAGAGTGCTCAAAAAATTCAAGGTAATCAGGCAGAGTCATCATGGTTTTGGAATGCTTTGATGTAAAAGGGCTGTGGATTGAAGGACAGGTCAATTGGGTGGTGTTATTGTGATAACTTCACAAAACTTTCATCACATGTTACAGACTCACAATTCTCCACTTTGTGTTTGTCTGTGTGGTTAATTGAGTGTCCATGACACCTTGTACATGTTTCACAAAAGGTTAATATGCAGGTACAGCAAGTAATTAAGAAAGCTAATGGAATATTACAATTTGTTGCAAGGGAATTGAACACGAAAGCAGGAGATTATGCTTCAGTTATAAAGGGTGCTGGTGACATTACATCTAGTGTACTGTGGACAGTATTGGTCTCCTTAACTAAGGAAAGATATAAATGCAATGGAAGCAGTTCAGAGAAGGTTTGCTAGACAATACTTGGAATGAGTGGGTTGGCTTAGAGGAGTTTGGACAGGCTAGACCTGTATACCCCTGCAGTTTAGAAGATAGGAAGTGATTGTACTGTGTTCCGTCACTGGACTAGTAATCCAGAGACCCAGGTAATGTTCTGGGGACCTGGGTCCGAATCTAACAATCGCAGATGGTGGAATTTCATTCAATAAATATCAGGAATTAAAAGTCTACTGTTAACCATGAACTGACTGTTATATAAAAAAAAAGCTGGTTCAGTAATGTCCTTTAGGGAAGGAAAACAACTGACCTCATCTGGGATAACAAGGTATAGAGCTGGATGAACACAGCAGGTCAAGCAGCATAAGAGGAGCAGGAAAGCTGACGTTTCGGGTCGAGACCCTTCTTCAGAAAATCTGGTCTGGCCTACCTGATTCCAGATCCATAGCAATGTGCTTCACCCGTAACTACCCTCTGAAATAGCACAGTAAGCCACTCAGTTGCTTCGGAAAAGGAACAAAACCAGACGGACCATTTGACATCGATTAAGACACCAGAAGCAACAGTGACCAATGGCAAAGCTTTTCTTTTGTTCGTTTGTGGAATGTGGATGTCGCTGGTTGAAACAGCAGTTAGTTTCCATCTTTAGTTGCCCTTCAGATGGTGTGTGAGCTGCCTTCTTGGATTGCTGCAGTCCATGTGTTGTGAGTAGATCTACAATGCCATGGTGGTGTGGTGGGAGGGGGTGAGGGGGAGGTGTTGACGGTGGTGGCGGTAGGAATTGCAGGACTTTGACCCAGCAACAGAAACCTGCAAAGTCCTCTTCACTAACATGTGGGTGATAGTGCTGCTTCACAGACTAGTCAAGAAATAGCCTGATACAGGCATATTTACAGAGTCATATCAGAGACAGCATCCCAGACACCATTGCCACTATCTCTGGATATGTCTTGTCCAACCAGCAGGAGAGACCCAGCAGAGGTAGGTATGTAGTCAAGCACAGTGGTATATAGTTGGGAGCAAGTTGCTCTGGGAGATCTCAACATTGATGCTGGATGCCATGAAATTTCATGGCACGACAACAGGTCAAACATCGGCAAAGAATTCTCCTGCTGCTGATCACATTTTGCATCCCTGCATCCCCCCTCCAATTCCCCCATGGTTGATGAATCAGTGCTCCTCCATGTTGGAAGAAGCACTGAGTGGCAAGGACATGGAAGGTATTCTGGCTGGGAGACTTCAATGTCCACCACCAACAGTGGTATAGCTTCACCACAGTGGTTAAACTAGTCAAGTCAAAAAGTACATTGTTGTTAGATTGGCTCTGGGCCAGGTGTTGAGGGAACTAACAAGAGAGAAAAACATACGTCATCCTCATCCTCACCAATGTGCGTCCTAATGTGCATACTTCGACAGTATCAGTAGGAGTGATGACCACCCAAGTCTTCACACTGAGAACACCCTTATGTTGAGTCGCACTATCACCATGCTAAATGGACTTCAAACAGGTTTAGCAACTCAAGACCTTCATGAGGTCATTTGTGCCATCATCAGCAGGAGAACTGTATTCCAACACAATCTTCAATGTCACGGCCTGGCATATCCCCCACTCTGCCACTACCATTAGGGCAGAGGTCAGCTTTGGTTCAATGAAGAGTGCGGGAAGGCATATCCGGAACACCACCAGGCATATCTGAAAATGAGGTGTCAACCTGCTGAAGCTATAAAACAGGAGTACTTATGTGGCAAACACTAAATGTTAGAGCTAAGCAATTTCACAATCAATGGAGAGGGTTTAAATTCTGTAGTTCTGCCAGATTTAGTTGTGAATAGTGGTGGACAATTAAATAGCTTATTGGAGGAGGCTACTCCACAAACATTCTATTTTCCACAATGAACAGGCCCAGCACCAAAGATAAGCCTTAAATATTCATAATATTTTCCAAATGCACTACCACCTAAAAGAAAAATGACAGCAGATACATATGTGAGTTCCCCTCTAAGCCATTTATCATTCTGACTTGAAATACTCTCTACTTACCTGGATGAATGCAGCCCCAACAACACTCAAGAACCTTGATGCTATCCTGAACAAACCAGCCCACTTGACTGGCACCTCATCCATAAACTCACTCCCTATATCACTGATACTCAGAAGCAGCAGTATGTACCATCTACATGAAGCACTGCAGAAATTCTCCAAGACTGCTGAGTTAACAATTTCCAAATGCACTACCACCTAAAAGGACTATGGCAGCAGGTACATGGGAACATCACCAGCTGCAAGTTCCCCTCTAAGCCATTTACCACCCCAACAAAGAAATACATCACTGTTTCTCCAGCATTGCTGGATCAAAATCTTGGAATTCACTCCTTAACACCACTATGGATTGCAGTAATTCCAGAAGGCAGTTCATCACCACCATCTCAAGAGCAACTAGCTGGTGGGCAATAATTGCTGGTCCAGCCAGCAATGCCCACATGTCGTGAATGCATGTAATAAAATCTGGAGCAAGATGATATCTTCAGCTTCCAGACCACCAATGCAAAATAAACACTTATTTGCAAATAACATGAGATTGGGTCGGAAGGTATAATGTGACGGATGCAAACGCGCAGTTGAAACGCGATGGCCTGAAACCCACAAAGGGCAAGTGGACTAGCAAACCTGACTCATTCTGGTAGGAAAGTGTAAAAACCCAGAAGGTTTCTGTATAATTTTAGCAGTTATGCAACACATTCTTTTGCAATACAGCCGTGTGGTTTGAGAAAGTTAGAGCAGATATCCGGTGGAAATCTGAGCCATAATAAGCGGTTATCGAATGCACCGTCGAGTCCACCGTGAGTCGAAGTCGGTACGGCGAGGAAAGCTGCCGACTTGGCTGATTTGATTGACACTCGCATGGCTCCGTAGGGTCGCGGCGGCAGACTGTTGACACTGGGCGGCACCCAGACGCGAGAGGGCGCACGCTCAGAGCGTACGCGTCACTCGGAAGGAGCCTGAACCGGAGGTATTGCCGAGGCGCGGGAGAGCGCGCGCACACGCATACGCCGGACGTGCTCGTAATTGGTGGAAGAGGGCGCGAGCTGGAGCCGAAGGGAGGCCACGAGCCTGGCGGATTCTAACGGCTGGATCGCGAGCCCGGGACTGAGTGACGTGGAGGCAGCAGCAGCAGCAGCATCAGCAGCGGCGGCGGCCGCCGCCAGCCCAGTCCCGGGGATCAGACCGGCTCGGGGGGTTTGGTGTTGATATACACTGACGAGCAGCTACCATTCCCGGGACACGGAGCCTGTGACACCCATCAGCAGTGCGGGCTGTCCGGTCGACCGAACGTCAACACTCTGCAAAACTTTCGCCGGCGGCAGGGGAGCCCCAGCCATGCCGAAGTCTCCGAGCGCCAACCTGAACTTCAGCCTCAGCCACGCGTGGGAGAGGTACCGGCAGTCAGAGCAGGAAGAGCAGGTGAGCTGGAGAGGAGGGGAGCCTGGCATCGGCTGTGTGAGGTGATATGAAGGCATTGGATGATGGACCCAAACTCTGGAGTGACCGAGGATAGTCTGGGATAGTAGGAACTGCAGTCTGGGAAGGGTAATGTGCAAGGCGGAGGGCGTCTGCCCTGGGCAGGGGGAGGATAATGTCCCTGGGCACAGGAAGCTTATTGCTGTTTTGTCATTGAAAAGATAGGTGAATGTCGCATTTTGTCTTGTGGGATGGTGAGCGTGCTTCTTTGTACTGAGAGATGGTGAGAGTCAAGAGAGACTCCTGAGGCAGCTGCTCCAAAGTGAGCTTGACTTTCATCCCAATCCATAGACTTGAGCTTGTATCCTAGGCAATTTGTACAGTACTAAGATGTGAATTACTACATATCCTATCTGTCAGATGAGCTATATCAAGGCTCCACCTCTTTCAGATGCAGGTTTAAATGATCCCATGGTGTTATTTATGTTGTGTTCCCCTGTATTATGATACTGATGAGGGATTATAAAATGCCACCAACAGTGTGAGTTCAATTCCTGTACTGGCTGAGGTCACCATGATGTTCCAACATCTTAACCTCAATCCATACCTGAAGCATGGTGGTCCTTGAATTAAAGTCACCACCAATCATGTCTCGTGAGAGAGTAGCCCTTTAGTTCACTGGGTCTACTGTGACTTTATTATTATTTTTAAAAAGTACTACCTTTGTAGGTGTCCTGAGTATGAGAAGAGACTGGTGACGAGCACAAAGGGGAATCTAAAAGCCTGTTATATTCATACGAGTAGAAAAAGGGTGATAAAAAGAAAAGAGTGGTTATTTTGGGACCAAAAGGAGATTTAGGCATGAAGGCAGTGAATGTGGCTGGGAAACTAAATTAATACTTTACATCTGCATTTATAAGGAAGAAGAATGCTGCCCAAGTCATGGTGAAAGATGAGAATTAGGACACTTAAAGGTTTAATATTGATGAGGAGGCCTTAGAAAGTCTGGTTGTGCCTAGCTTTGTTAAGGATAAGATTCATCCAAGATAGAATAAAAATTGTGGAGGTACTATTCATAATTTTCCAGTCTTTCTTTGATATGGGATGATGTCAGAGGACTGGGAAATTGCAGATCGCATACTTGTTCAAAAATGGGTGAGAAAGAAACTGAGCAACCATGGGCAAGTCAGTTGTTTCCATAAACTTCCATATCTCTGTGGTTGAAAGATTGGGGCAAAATTAATTGCCACTTGAATGTGAATTAATGATCAAAAGCCAGCTTGGATTTGTTAAGTGCAAATTTGAGTTTAATTAGCTTAGAGTTTTTGTTCAGGTAGGGTTGATAAGAGCAGTGTCATTGTGGCGAAAAGGTAAAAGTCTCTGTAGTCTTACCACATCAGTAGGCTGCTCTCCTACTAGAGATAAATGACTGTTACTTTAACCTGAGGGTTACCATACTTCAGGAGAGGTTGAAAGGGAGGGTGCTTTGTGGTAACCTCACCTGGTGCAGGAATTGAACCCATGCTGTTAGCATCACTCAGCATCACAAACCAGCCAATTGAGCTATGAGCTACCTGACCCTTCACTCCCTCAAACATGAATTCAAAAAATGTTTTGATAAAGTGCTACACAGCAGACATGGGAGCAAAGTTAGGCCTCCTGAAACAAAAGGGACAATAGCAACATGGATACTGTATGAGTAAAGAGTGCAAAGCAAGGAAATTATAATCAACATGTTCCAAACTTAGGTTTGGCCTCAACGGTACTATTGCATCATTCAATTTAGGAAGAACATGAAGTCATTGGAGAGGGTGCAGAAAAGATTCACAAAATTAGTTGTCAGGATGACGAACTTAATTACATGGATTAGAAAAGTTGGGACAGTTTTTCTTGGGGTAAAGAAATTTGAGAAGAGATTTGATAGAGACACGCAAAATCATGGTCTGGACAGTAGATGGAGGTGAAATTTTGCATTATTGGAAGGATTGAAAACCAGAGGATACACATTTAAGGAATTGGCAAAGAAACGGTGACAATGTGAGGAAGACCTCTGCTTGACAGAGTGGTGGAGGCAGATTCATTCAGACATTCAAAAGGAAGTTGGATGTGTAAAGGAAAAGTTTGCAGAGCTATAAGGAAGCGGGATGGAAGTGTCATTAGGTGAATTAACAACCACTAGTAAATCATCTGTATTCTCAAACTGATTAGTTTACATAGGAAGCCCTTTGAGAGTAAAGTCAGAAGTCCCACGACTCCGGGTTGTAATCCAACAGGTTTATTTGAAATCACAACCTTTTGGAGCACTGCTACTTTGGGTGAAGTGCAGCGCTCTGAAAGCTTGTGATTTCAAATAAACCTATTGGACTATAACCTGGTGTCATGGGACTTCTGACTTTGTTCACCCCAGTCCAACACTAGCACCTCCACGTCATGACAGACCTTCAAAGGTGAAGCAGGGGGGCTAAATCAAAATGGAGCTGGACTGAAGAGAATTTTTTATCCTGAAGTGCTTTTGTTTTCCCCTTCACCAGTCATCTGTGGTATTTATTTTCATCTATATCTATCACCAGTAAATTACTTGTTTTTTCCAATTGATTTAATTAATTTGCATGGAAAGCCCATTGAGGGCAATGCAAGTAATCAAAGGTGAGAAAGGGGAAGGGGGAGGGTGTTAAATCGAAGTGGAGTTGGAAGAGGTGAAATTATTAATAAGGTGGGTTTAAGTGTTGATTGCTGCAGGAAAAATAACTAACTTGACTGAGTACCAATAATATCCCTTGCTAGCAAACCAAAGGGTTTCATAAGGTTTAGTACTCAGGATTGAAGTATCTTACTCTTGATTTGTGAGCCAGCATACTGTGCCCCCTTACTGAGCTGCACTGGCTATTATACCAGCTTGATCTGTGAGTAGGTTTGATGGCTATGGTGTTTTGCAATGTGGACATGTTTCCTGCTGAAACCTTAGGGACCTACTCCCATCAATAGCACCAGGCACTCGACTGCCAATGTCTGAATGAATACATACCTGTCATTTTGAGCTGAAGCCTTGGCCTTCTGCCTCACTAGCTTATTGCCAGCTAGTTGGGTACCTGCCTGCTCTGGCCGACTGCAGCTCGTCATACAATCTGTCTAGGATCCATTGCATTTGAATGCCAGCCATGTGCCTATTTCTGGCACTTGTTGACACGTTCTTTCGGGGCACTCGTCATTTTATCTATTTATTAAGAAAAGTAACTCTTCTTTCTATCATCGTCCTTGTATTCTTTATCCCCTAAAAACATTTTTGCCTTTTTCTTTACCTCTTTATCTCCTGTTTCTTTTATGTCTTCTGCTTTTCCTTCTTCACAACAATTGAATTTCCTCACTGGCTTTTCTCCCTTTCCCAGACATTGCTGTAAATGCCATCAACCATTTCAAGGAACTTCTGTATTATACCTGGGTTGTTATTAGTAACCTTTTTGAAAATCAGAAGACTGTGCAGAATACCAGTTACAAGTGAGAAAGAAAGCCTGAAAAGGATGAACCTAATTATTCCATTGTAAATCCGGAATAAAAAAATGAAAATACTTCAATCATCAGGCCAGACATTATTTTGGGAAAAGAGATAACAGTGTGGAGCTGGAGGAACACAGCAGGCCAGGCAGCATCAGAGGAGCAGGAAAGTTGACGTTTCGGGCTGGGACCCTTTTTCAGAAATGGGGGATGGTTGGGGGGTGGTGAAGGGAGCTCAAATAAATAGGGAGAGGAGTGGTGGGGCTGGGGAAGGTAGGCGGAATGGTGATAGGTGAGTGCAGGTAGGGAGCGGTGGGGATTGGTCAGTGAGGTGGGAGGAGTGGATAGTTGGGAGAGAACATGGGCAGGTTGTATCAGGTCAAGGAGGCAGAGGTGAGAGGGATGGTTGGGGATGAGGCCGGGGTTGGGGAGATTTTGAAACTGGAAAATCGAGGCAGAATTTTTCAGATGGTGGGGTATCCTGCTATGTCACACAGAATTAGCTAGGAAGCATCTCTGCTATTAGCAGCAGCCCCATACTTAGAGAATCATTCATTGGTTGGATGTGAGACCGCTGCCTCTTAATCAAACCCGTTGGCGGGGAGCCATAAAATTCTGCCAGTAGTCTCTAATTGATGCAGATGAAGTAACTGGAAAATGCAAAGACAGATAACTTCTTTTGAGTACAGGGAGTTATCGGAATAATGCCACCATTCTGATATAGGAGTTGATTTAGCCTCTCACTGAAGAGGGAACAAAGCATAACTTTGACAAGTATTTGATCACTTGTACTTAGTAGACGTGAATCATGGAGTCTGTCTGTCTTCACTGACAGCTCGTTCTTGATATAAATTTAGGCTGAAAAGAATAAATCACTGTAAAATCTGAAATTATACAAGTAAATATAGATAATATTCTTTTGGATCCTATCCTGGTACATTTTCTTATTCCTCCTGTTGATTTGAACATATTTTCAGTTCAATTGGTGAAAGCAACAGGGATCACTTAATGTTTTTATTTTGTATCGTTAGTGTATATGCATTTAGTCTGTATACATTGTGTCTCCTCTTCCTCCCCCACTCTCAAAGGAAGTATAGAGCAGAAAAAGTATGTCTGAAAATATATACAGGTGATGGTGTTTAAATAGAGATGTAGAAATGTAGAAACAGGAGTGGGCCATTCAGCCCCTCAAATCTGCACCACCATTCAGTAAGATTATGGTTAATAGAGGCCTAACTCCATATGCCTGCCTTGGGCTCATACCCTTGTTTAATAAAAAAAAAGTTTGATTTAAATTTAATGATTGAATTAGCATTGACTGCTTTTTGAGGGGAAAAAAATTCCAAACCTCCACTACTCTTTGCCTATAGAAGTGCTTTCCAGCATCTCTCCTGAATGGCCTGGCCCTAATTCTTAGACTATGCCCCTTGGTTCTAGAATCTTCAACCAGTGGCAATGGTTTATCTATTTTAACCTGTCTTTTCTTGTATATACCAGTGAAAAAGGAGGAC